AGAAAAGTTTAGCGAGCGTTGGGCCGGAGTGCCATGAATACAGTGAACTAGTATTTACCATGAACTCGAGGTGGTCAAAGGTGGGAAGTAGACGCGAAGCGCAAGCCGTAAGAAAGTATGCGTGTGCCACCTCTCGTTTAGTCCTTGGAACGTCCGCTGGATGGCGGTGCTTCTATATGCGGAATATATGATGAAACAATGCGAGATGGTGGTACTTGGAGCGTTGAATAGGTGGACAAACGGACACAGAGACAGATGCAGGGGCGGGCGCATGGATGGCTGCACGGACGGATGAACGCATGAATGGACGCCAGGGCGGATGCATGGACGAATGCAGGGACGGACTCACGGATGGACGTGCGAACGCACGAACAGACGCACACACGGACGGGTGGATAGACGCCCGGATGGTCACACAGACGGACGCATGGACGGATGGATGCTTCGCCCCACTCTCCATCATTCAACCCATGGATATGCTGCCATTCTTGTAGTTTTTTGAACAACAAAGAATGGCACAGTGACTTCCCGTTGAGCTTTCACTAGCCGATTTGCAATAAAAGTCACAGCTTTGCCACAAAGGCACAGCAGTGAATGCGATAGCAACAAATTGGAAGGTCACGCGCAGAATGGCAAGCAGATCGAAACGTGCCCCAGGTTTTCCACGCTCAAAGGACGCACGAAACGTACGCATAGGTACAGATTAACACGAATAATTGTCTCAGTTATCACTTCGCTGTGTCTGAAAAGCGCGCCCTTTTCGTAAACGGAGGCTGTGCAACGATTGCAGTCACCTTTGTGCACCTGGTAACTACAACAGAATCGTTCCGATGAAAATCAAAGGCCAGATAAGATGTACCATTCTCCCCACTGCAAGATAAGGGCACACAATCGAGCGTACACACCCTTATTCTCTACGCGGGCCAAAGTACGCGTGAGAGATGAGAGCTGCCATGCGCTCACTGCGCCATCTTGCTGATAGTGCTGAAAACACGATAGTCCCCCCCCCCCCCCTGAGAGGTCCGTCGACAGCGGTAAGTGGCATATATGAATAGCTTGCCGTTTGAGCATTGAAGGTGGTACCTTTCGATGGCTCAGTGGTTAACGTCTCGGATTCAGGACGCGGAGGTCCCACGTTCGATTCCGCGCGCCGGAGTCTTTTAAACACGATAGGTCTTTTTGGGGACCATTGACGCAATAATTTTGGTCTGTCCGTTTGTCTGTTTCTCCCCCTAATGGTACCGGGCACTTTTGACGGCACTAACGGGTACCCCAAATGGCCGACCCCACCCGCAGCGCCCACCAATGTTGCTCAAGGTTCAGCGCCCATACTTGTGCGATTGTCAGTTTAATAACAATTATCGCATGTGTCTGAGGCACGATAACAACACGTACATAATCTGTATGTGCGTCTTTTACTAGAAAAGGCATACATAAGTTATTCTAAAGATCGTAGCGTTTATCACGCGGCGCTGACAATGCAACGCTTGCACGAAAATGGAAGTGTTTCCAACGCTTTGCTAAGACCATAAAGTTTCCTAATATACACTATAGGGAACTCTGGCGCTAGTGTCTATGGGAACTGCAACGCATGACAATTCAGCGACCATGGGAATGGTGGGTCGTACACACATTTGTCTAATCTTCGTACTTTTGGCCTGCTTCTGTGTGTTTGTGTGGCTTGGAGCTGTTTTCTCACGAAACAAAGAACAGCAAATGTTGATTGATTTGTGGGATTTAACGTCCCAAAACAACAATATGATTATGAGAGACGCCGTAGTGGAGGGTTCCGGAAATTTGGACCACCTGGGGTTCTTTAACGTGCACCGAAATCTGAGCACACGAGCCTACAACATTTCCGAAGAACAGCAAATGTTAAGTGGTTGCGCTTGACCACCTTATGCTTTTAGACTTACCTGTCCAAATTGGTCACGAAGTTCAAAGGGTTCGTTCTTTTGATCGCAACAAAACCGAAACACAGCAATAAACGAAGCCGCAAGTACAATTTGCCGTCCGCATATACAAAAATTAGGCTAATGTGTGTGTAATAAGTCGCTGAATGATCGAAGCGACAGAGTTCCCTCTAGTTAATTTTAGCAAATTCTATGGCTAAGACGTAGTGGCACCTACCTGTCGTCTTGCGTTCTACCTTGCGTTCACCTTTGAGACGGGTGCTCACGCCCGTTTCGAAGCCGCGCATTTCATTTTCCAAGATAACTGCCACATAGCGCTCATGTCTCACGTGTGACGTGAATTGATGCGCTCGTTCACTTCCGCTGCACGCTCGAAGAACTCTAACGCAGCGCCTTCAGAATACCATTCACTGATTTTCTTGCCCAGAACATCAAATAAACGTTTTGTTCAATCTCTTCAGACGCAAGATCGTCTTTCGACAAAATTTGCAGATTAGCATGCAGATACGGGGCCAATTTTTTTCTGGAATGTTTTTCTTTCTTGCGTTTTCATATATATAGATATGTATACATACACGGTGCATGACATCGATGCCGACGTCGATGTCCACGTAGACGCTGATGGAAAAATCGAGAGTGTCGATATAATTGTTATCGCAATGAAAGAGAAAAAAAATTGCCCGCAGCTTCCCTCGGGGGAACACTGAGGAGGATGCGGAGCATATAATTGGTTAACGGGGTGTTAAAGTGCGACTTACTTGGGTCGATGGCTAAATTGGTTAACGTGGTTCGGCCTCTCGTCGCCGACGCTTGCACTCGGCTTCCTGTTTTCGAAAGTCCGGGTCCTCTTGTCGACGTTTACGTTTCAAAGCGGCCGAATCCGGTGCTGCTGCTCGACGCTGACGTCTCTCAGCGGCTTCACGTTCTCTAAGTTGAGAATCTCCCGCTCGACGCCGACGTTTACGTTCGGCGTCGCGAGCTCTTCTCCGCGCTGCCTTGTCTTCGGACGACGACTTGGTTGCGGTTCCGCCAACACTTTGGCCGGCGCTGGTCGAAGGGACGTCGATCGTTGCGACCTCGGACGTCGACGCGCCGTACAAACCAACCGACGAGCGGCAACTGAGCGAGCGAGCACCGACCTTGAGTATATATACAGCGCAACGGCGCATGCACTGTCAGCTGTCGAATGTTCGAGAAGGGGGAGAAGCGCAACGGCGCATGCGCGCGCGTCAGCTGCCGATGTTCTCGAAGCGTGACGGCGCATGCGCGCTACATTATACAGCTAGCGAATGTTCGTGAAGAGGAGAAGCGCACGCGCTGTGTAGAGGAGGAAGGGTGCACAGATGGTGGAGGAGTGAAGCGCGCGCGGTGTGTAGAGGAGAAAGGGATGCACAGATGGTGGAAGAAGGAGGAGGAAGCTTGCGGACGGCGCCGCACTACAAGCCTCGAGTATTAGATGCTCCGCATCTAAAATATGAAGTTTGACTTAAAACATGCTAAAATTGTTAGAAACGCCACGCACGCAAGCATCAGCTTGTGCATTCCGTGCCGTCGGTGCGCTCCAGCAAGAAGGGAAGCACTGGTTGCCAGTCCAGTCCTCCTCGCAGGATGGAACGGTCTATACAATGCTGCGCGCTATGTGCCATGTGGCGACGTGCGCGCAGCGGCTACGCGACCGCAGCTGCACGAGCGTCTGTTCTTCTCTGAGGTACCTGCGCCGCCGTCGCCGCAGCTGGCATATAATGCGCATGATGATTACATGAAAGTGTCGCAATACCCAGTCCTCGCATAGCCATCGCGCAGTGCATCACTGACAGGAAGCTTGCTGAACTGCTTGCGTCTTCATTCGCACCCCCTTCTTCGAGTAGAGGGAGTGTCACCAGTGTCACGGCAACTGGCACGTTCGCCCTCCCTCCCGCAGAACTCGCCACGTCAGCTGACATTCGCTCTCTCTACGAGGAGGATTTATCTCACACCGAATCGCAACGGGTTCTATTCAAAAGGTGCAAGCGCAGCTGCGGTCCTGGTCCGGACAGAATCACACATCAAATGCTCAGGAACCTGGACGCATCCCAGCATCCTTTCTTGCTGGATGCATTCAACAGTGTTTTCCTCCTGTGCTGTCCACCCGGATCAGTGGCGATCCGCTACCGTGACCCCTGTCTTCAAGCAAGGCGAACCGCCACACTCGGTCAAGTCGTATAGACCCCTCTCCGTTACCTCAGTGGCGGGCAAAGCAATGGAAGAGAATGCCCTTTATCGACTGCAGTGACTCGCGGACGCCCGCAATGCCTTTCCAGCAGAACAGTGCGGATTTCGGCCTCAGCACGTGAAAGCCGACTGCATCACCGCGATCGTGAGCACTCTCGAGCAAGATCTACACGATGGAGAAATGGCCATTCTACTCCTCGACATAAAATCGGTGTTTGACTTGCTCCCTCACTTGTCCATCATCAGTGCTGTGCGCACGCTCGGTGTCGAGGGCAAACTCTTGAACTACGTTCCAGCCTTCCCCACCGACAAGACGTTTACTGTGTGCGTGAGTGGGGTGACAAGTGTGCTTGCGGTCCGTCATCTGTGGCATCCCATAGGGCAGCGTCCTCAGTACGTTTTTAATTTGGTTCTCGCGCCACTCACCAAGTGCCTTCCAGAAACAGCTGTATTCCTTGTGCGCTGTGTTGTGTACGCAGACGACGTCACTCGACGTGCGTGGACCAACTCATAAGTGCTGAGTGGTACGCGCCTGTATGCCCGTGTAGTCCAATTTCCGTGTTCTCTAACTCCTGGACGTCTACGACGGCGTTGTGGCCGGCGAACCTGCGCACCTTCAGCGCTGGCTGCCCCCTCACCAGTGAGCGCCCCTTTGACTGAACCTGCACTTGCCGGGAGTCCGATTGAAGCGCCACACGCAGCTCAGTGCCATAACGCAGGAGGTTGCGGCACGAATGTATGGGGACCTAGCTGGAAGGACGCAAGTGTTCATTGGTGGGTCCGTCCTCCGGGATGACTCCGCAGCTGCCGTCTTCACAGCCCCTCAGCTTGGCATGGAGTGACAATGCCGCTTTCGGTATTGTACATCCTTTTCAGCAGCTGAGCTACTTGGGCTTTTCTTGGCTGCCGACCTCCTACGCGAGTCGCCAGCCACCAAGACCGCAGCAATATTCTGTGACTCCAAACCTGCCTTGTGTCAGCTCGTGAGGGGAGAACGTGGCCCGCTTCTGGCTCAGCGCACTGCACGCAGCCTACTGGCCCTTCAAGAGCGCGGCTGTGATATTGTGCTTCAGTGGCTTCCATCACACGTCGGCATCGTGGGGAACGAGGCTGCAGACAAACTTGCCAAACAAGCACACTCCGCCGAGACCCCGCTAACCGACTCTGCAAGCTCTTTCGACTCGACACGCAACAACCATCTCCGGGAGCGAACGCACGAGCATCCTGACGTCCGGGTTGCAGCCGGACGCCCCCCTCCTTCCACGCCAGCGACTGGTTTCAGCTGCCGCGAGCGGGGGCTCCTCCTAGCCATGAGGACTCACTCCATGTCGCCAGCGGAACGGAGCCATCGTCTGCGTGGCGCGAGCTCTCCGAACTGCGCTGACTGTGGCGTGGTGGAAACACTGTCCCACCGCTTGTGTGAGTGTCCTGCTCTCGGTGAAGCGCGCAAGCGGCTCGTCAAGAGGTACCGTCTCGTCGCACTGCCATGTGTGACACTGCAGGCCCTCCTACACCCCACCGGGTACGAGGACCATCGCCGCTCTGCCCTTGTGGTCTTACAGAACTTTCTAGAGGACACCAGCTTGACCGAGCGACCTTTATAAGCCGCTCGCCATGGTGAAGCGTGTCTTCCTCCCAACACGCTAGTTTCTTTTTTTTTATTCTCCTCGATTTCACCATCCCCCTTTCTTTTTAGCCCACTGTCTTTCTGCACTATAACTGTCTGTTCATTTTCCGTTGCCCCGTTAGTGTATCCGTTGAGGTGTCCTCACATGAGAGACAGTTATCGAGCACTCCACACCCTATGTCCTTACTTTACTGCCCTTTTCCCCCTAAATAATCACCCTCCAGCTCGATTCGCTGCGTTCTCTTAGTAGTGCAGGGAGTTGTCTTTGCGGCACAGCCACGGTAATGCTCACAAATTGAAAGGGCAGGGGGTTACATAAGTGGTACACAACATATACCTGTTTCACACAGAAATAAAACATGCGGGGAAACATACAAGTGGAAACAACAAATGAAAACACAAGTGATTTTTTTGTTGACACCATAGCTTTCCAAGTTTCTCTTGCTCTAAAGCATCATACATACTACTGCTGCAGTTCACATTGGCGTAGAGGCTTGCAAATGCTGCAGCTCTAAACAATTGTCTTAGCCTTACAGCACCAAATTGGAGTTCACACAAGGATAAAAAAAATATAGGCACAAGCGTAATAATTACGACTGCTCGCATCCCGGTTTTTCATTATGGTTCAGGTCTCGCGCTCTACATCTAAGAGAGAGAGAGAGCATAAGGTTGAGTGAAAAGCAGGGAGGTTAACCAAAAGAAACTTTCCGATTTGCTACTTTGCACTGGGGAAAGCGAAACGGGCATGAAAACGTAAGGTGGGAAAAGCGAGGAAAAGGGTGCTTAAATAAAACGAATTGAAAACACGCCCACACTCCAGCACGGGAAAGATATATAGTCGTTTAGCGAGTCCGGTTGACCGCAGGAACTTCAGCAGCACCTTCGTCGCTTTCTGGCTTGAAGGTCGAGCGTTCTGGCACTCCAAAATGGACTGTTCCGAAAGCGGCTGGACGTCGAGCCACGCTAACGTTGCCGTGAGCTGTTGTCCTTGGTAGCTATAATAAGGACAGTCACAGAGGACGTGGGCGACGGTTTCCTCACTTCCACAGTGATCAGATGTACCACTGTTGGTCATGCCGATCCTGTAAGCAAAACTGTTCGCGAATGACACTCAAAGCCATAAGCGGCATGGGACGGTTGTTTCGGATCGAGATAGTCTGGATAGAATTCGAGGTCGAAGCGGTGGATCTAAACGGCGTATTGGGGTATGCAGCAAACCGGTCATGCTCCACAATGAGTGTGTTATCTAAGATTGGGCATTAACGTGCAGCACTGTAGGGTATCTTTTTATGTTTTGGATGCTCCATTGATAAGTACACGTAAATTTAACATACAGTATGATATATCATAAACTACAATGCACACGTATTCTCCTACGAGCGGCAAGATGACGCTTCTTGTCTGACTTTCGCACGCTTATATGGCAGAACGGGATGCTGTGTACGCTTTATAAAGAACAATCAATCTCTGCACATAAATCTTGGGACGTAATATTAAGCGTGCCGGAGATAATTATGACTGTTCTTCGTGTTTTTAGCTTGAATTTGTGCTCTATACTCTCAGGCATTGATAATAATTCCAAGTATTGGCGCACTTAACTTTGTGTGCCTAGGAGCATCCATCGATGAGTGAACACGTTTTATCGCTGTCGAGGAGCCAGGGAACGAACCGGTTTATTAGAGATAAGGGGATTTATTTATTGAAAACCCTACGACGCGAAGTGGGCGCCTACAACAAGTAACGACAACAAAAAAATGTCCCTACATACTTGTTTTGTGCCGTTCGACCAACGCCGTTTAGAGTTTCCTTATCGGGCGCTTGTAGCATGGAGTTTCGGATGGGAAAGTTGCGCGCCGCATTAAAGTTGATAAGAGCCTGGACGCCTTCGTTATAGTTTAGCGCTTTTGAAAGCGGTGCGATATCGGCGGGGAGAAAAAAAAAAAGAAAACGGTTGCGGTGCCTCTTTACAAGAAGCCTAAGTGGTCTAGCCACTTTTCCTGCCAGATGGGAAGGCAATATCTCCCTACTTCAGAGGCTCGACAAGACGCCAATAACACGAACTTACACGAATAACGAGATACAAGAAAGGAACGAGTGAACGAGCGTCGATCCCACAGTCGAAGGAAAGGCTCGGGCGGAGAAGCGCCGGCATTTGTTCGCTGCGGATCAAGAAACGCCCAGGATTGGTGGCGCTGGTTATTTTTTTTTCTAGGACGTCAATAACTTTCTATCTGCCTGCAATCTCGGTGGTCGTGGTTGTAACTCCTCACCGCCGCTCATTTTCGGCAGCGTGTCCGCTTTGGCTCGGCAGCCCTTTTCTTCGTCTCTCTCTCTCTCTCTCTTTTTGGCACCAAACTTTTCTCGCCAGTTACAATGAAAATCATCCCTCTTAAAAGTTACTCCTGACAGTTTGCCTGTGTTTATTCTTCGGTTTTCTTATCCTCGTCCTGGTACTTCCAAAAAAAAAAAGTTGCGGGAAAACTTTTTTCCTTTCTTTCGGTACACGACACGGACCAACACTACAGCCCTGTGTCACAAGACGGAAGCTTGTCGGTAAGAATCGCTCCTGAGCCCACGTATCGTAACAGCGTTGAGCAGTAAGATCAAAAAGGGAAACGCGCGAAAAGGAGGAAACACATCTCGGAGCCTGTTTGGTGTCTTCGTATAGGGAAGTTCGGTCCGCTGGGCTCTCTCGGCTTTTTTGCTCCTAACTTCTTCTTCCCTGCGTGTGCCATCGTTTGAGTAAAGCGAGTGCTCGCATCAGTGGCGGCGAAGAAGAGCTGGAGTGTGTAAAGGGTTAAGAAGAAGAACGGGAAACACTTTTGGCTAGGATCTGCCGCCGTCGCTTGTCCTGTCGATGCGCGTCAGGCAGATGAAGCGACTCCGATGCGTTTCCGGCCGATGCTGAGTGGCAATTGAATAGATTCTCCCGCGTCAGTCCAGCAGCACACGAGACGCCTTCACTGTCTTAGATTATCGCGCGTGAGGCAAGATTGCGCCCCTCAAAACGGGCATGGTAAATGGCCTGCTTTGTTTGCGAGGCAATTCAATTTGGCAGGACGTGATTGTGTTATTGGCGCTAGCTTTGGCGCCTCTTTGTCCATTGTGGCACGGCTCATTTATGTTGAAGTTGGGCAGGATTAGGTGTGTGTCTTCGACAGATTGTCTAGAGAATGTGCGAAGCCGTTGTTAAGGTAGCTACTTGACAGCCCTCCCATGGCACGCTCTAGAGCCATCATACTTGTGTGCATAGAAACATGTAGCAATATGAACCCAAGATAGGCAGAAGACAGACATTGCAGTTACATAAAGACCAAGTCTCCAGACTCAATATTCATTTGTCACAGGTCCCGTTAAATAGGGAGGTGATCGCCGGGCTAATTTCAAGGGCCGAAGTATCGGCCCCTGAAATGCACCACGAAAGCGCGGACAATTTTGAAGTGGCCTTATTTGGCGCGCCAGCGGACGCCGGCTGTGGTCAAAAAGAGCAAGTCAGAGCCGAGAGCTGATAAACAAAACAAAATTATATTGCTACGATACCGAGGGGACGCGTGGTAGAAGAGGAGAACGAGGTTGCCACGAGCGAAGAAGAGGAAGATCCAGAAGAAGAGGAAGATCACGCGGATACGTTGCGCCTGGACACGCCCTTGCTCTTGCTGTCGCCGGGTTCCACTGTGGGGTTCTTGGCTAAGTATTGAGTGCTCTTAGTTATAAGTTTTTGTTGTTTTTTTACAGTCTCCAGTTGATTTTTTTGTTTTTCAATCTACCTTAATCTGTTGTGCTGATCTCAACCAATTCTCCTGGCCAGGCGCGATCCGCCTGGTCAGCGTCACTATCACCTAATGAATTGCCGTAAGAGTTATTCTTTCGCAGTGGGGTCAGCAACATTCCTGTCGCACTGGTGCCGACAAATGGAGGTTTCATCAGGCTCACGAACCCCCAGGCTGTCCAAAAATAACTGAAATCCTTATCGAACCACTTTCAGACCATCACTGACGTGCGCCAATTTGGACGAGGTGACATAGTGTGTATAGGTCACCGGGCCAGACCTGTGCGCAGGATCTGCTTAAGAGCACTTCTTTCGCGTCAACCCCGGTGAGTGCTTTCATTCCGCCTCACCTTGCGTGAACTAAAGGCCTCATAAGGGGCGTCGATTCTGAAGTGAGTGCAGAAGAGACCTTGGACAGGCTTTCGGGAGCAGGCGTAATTTCCGTTTACCGTTGCAGTCGCCTGGCTAATAAAGAGAAGACACCAACCGAATCCGTCATTGCTACATTTGTGGGCACAACTTGCCCATCATAAATAAAGCTATGGCCTCTTTTCTTTCACGTGGAGCCCCTCGCTTCCCGTCCAGTACAATGTAAAAAAAATGGCAGCATATCCACGGAGTGAATGATGGAGAGTGGGGCGAAGCATTCGTCCGTCCATGCGTCCGTCTGTGTGACCGTCCATGCGTCTGTTCGTGCGCCCGTTCCTGCGTTCGTTCATGCATCCGCCCCTGCGTCCGTTCATGCGTCCATCCATGCATCTGTCTGTGTGTCCGTTCGTCCATCTATTCAACACTCCAAGTCCCACCATCTCGCATCTTTTTATCATATATCCCCATATAGAAGCACCGCCATTCATGTGGACATTCCAAGGACTAAACGAGAGGTGGCACACGCACACTTTCTTACGGCTTGACGCTTCGGGTCTACTTCCCACCTTCAACCACCTTGAGTTCATGGTATCTACTAGTTCACTGTATTCATGGCACTGCGGCCCAATGCTCGCTAAACCTTTCTAAAACCAAGGAGGTTACGCCCAGCCGAGTATAACGTAGCAACCTTTTCCTGTCAGATAGTGCTCAATGTACATGCCAGTGGCTGCTAATGGGAAATGAAGACAGGAGGATTCAGCTTTTATTTCTTACGGCTTGCGCTTCGTATCTGCTTCCCCCCATTAACCACCTCGAATTCATTCATGGTATATACTAGT